TTTTTTTGGTTCTGGGGATCGAACTCAGATCCTTGCACTTGCAAGGCAGGCAGTGGAACCACTGAGCTAAATCCCCAGCCCCTTGAAAGATAGTTTTGCAGGGTACATCAATCTGGGTTGGAAGCTGTTTTCCTTTATGGCTTGAAATACATCACTCCAAGCTCTTCTTGCCTTGAGGTTTTGCCTTGAGAAGTCTGCTGTGATTCTGATGGGTTTTCCTTTGTATGTGATTTGTTTCTTTTCTCTAACTACTTGTAGAACTTTGTTCTTCTGTTGCATATCTGGAATCTTTACAATTATATGCCTATGTGTAGATTTTTTTTTGATCAAGGCTATTTGGAATTCTATATGCCTCACTTATCTGTATGTCAAATTCTTTTCCCCTCCTTGGGAAGTTTTCTGCCATTACTTCTGTGAAGAGTTTTTTTTATGTCATTTGCACTCTCTCCTGTTTCTTCATTGACTCCAATCAGTCTTATGTTATTCTTCTTCGCATCATCTAGCAGCTGCTGGATTGATTTCTCGTGTTCCCCTAAAATTTTGAAACAATTTTTCTTTACCTGGTCATTAACTACAATCTTATCTTCTGCATTTGAAATTCTGTCCTCACATTGGCTCATTCTGCTGTCTAGACTTTCAGTGGAGTTTTTTATCTCCTGGAAATCTATTTGCATCTGTTTTATGGATTCCATTTTTTTCCTGTGTTGGGATTCCATCATGTTCCTCAGCTCCTCTCTAGATTTATTAATCATGTCTTGCACTATGAGCACAATCTCTGCTGTTATCTGTGAAATTATTTCTGATTTCATTTTTTCCAGATCCTCTTTTGTTGCTAGTTCAGTGGGTCCAGGTGGAAGATTGAATGTAGAGTAACATAGTGAAAGTGGGCAATTCCAGAGGCCTTCATAGAGAAATGAACTAGTCGAGCAGAGCAGTAGATGCTGTGCACTACAATAGCAGGTGAGTGACTCCAGCCCAAGTGACAGCTATGTCCCCTGGAGATAGTGCTTGTTCAGCAAATAAATGTATGAAAAAATGTGCAATGACACTGGTCATTCAATAAATGCAAATAAAACAACACCGATATTCCATTTCACTCCAGAAAGAATGGCTATCATCAAGTAATTAACCAATAACAAAAGCTACTGAGGCTGTGGAAAAAAAGGAACCCTTTTCCATTTTTGTAGGAGTATAAATTAGTACAACTGCTAAGGAAATCAGTATGGAGATTCTACAAAAACCTGAAATTAGAGGTTCCATTTGACTCAGATGTTCCCCTTTTGGGTATCTTCTTGAAAGAATTAAAAGCATCATGCCACAGTTATATGTACATATCCATGTTTATAACAGCACAGTTTATAATAGCTAAATCTTGTAAACAATCCCTATGGCCATCAACAGATGAATGGATAAAGAAAATGTGGCATTTATATGCAATGGAGTACTATTCTGCCATAAACAATGATAAACTTGAGTTATTTTTTAGGTAAATGGTTGCACTTTGAGACTATAATTTTGAGTGCAGCAAATCAGAAACACAAGTTTAAATATTGCATTGTTTCTCTGGTGTGAGGAACCCAAAATGGAGAGTAGATACTGGAAAGTAGGAAGAACATGCTCAAATGTGAAGGGGAACATAGGAGGGGGAGGATGAAGGGAAGGAAGGGAAAAGGGAAAAAAGAGAATGGAAGGAAAAAATGGAAACCAAACTTTTGTAAATGAGGGGAGGAAGAGTTGAAAGAAGAGGAGGGGAATGGGAAAAATAGACGAATTAAGATATATTATGTACAAGTACAAATTTCCTATGATTAATGTGATTGTTATATATGGAAAATATATACTAATCCAAAATGGGGGGGTTGGCAATGTAGCTCAGTGTCAAGGTCCTGGGTTTAATCGAGAGAGAGAGAGAGAGAGAGAGAGAGAGAGAGCAAATTACTACTTTATTTGGCTTTGTAAAAGGACTTATGACCATTCAGCTTCCATGTAAGTTGATGCACATACTCTGATAGGCTAGGGGATGGCAAGGCTAACACTATACCCTGGGAACAGAGTAAGATGGGCAGACCTCTTGGGTTCTGCTGCTGCTGGACTATTTTCACAGAATGAATGGAACAGCCAATGAGACCTCCAGGTAGCCTCTACTATAGACATCTCAGAAACTGGGAGCCTGGACTATCTCCTTCTTTATGGAGGCAAATGAAATAGGCAGCTTGAAGTCAAAGGATGAGACCTTGACATCCAAAGTCAAAGTTGTAGGGCTGAGGACTTAGCTCAGTGAAGCCATGCCTGCCTGGCAAGCACAAGGTCCTGCATTTGATCCCCAGTTCCGGGGTGGGATGGGGAATAAACATCAAACTTGTAGGAAAAAAATCTTGGGGATGTAAGAGTCCTTAAGAGTCATTAGCCCAACAACATTCCATCAAGTAAGCCACTTACCTCAGCATAGAGAAGATACAGTGGAACACATCAAATGAACTGGATTTCTGGATTTTTTTTTTTTTTTTTTTTGGTACCAGGGATTGAAATCGGGTCCTTGTGCTTGCAAGGCAAGCAACAGAACCACTAGGCTAAATCCCTGGCCCTGAACTGGATTTTGTATGGAAATACAATGTTTTATATGACTTTAAACTGCTCCAATAATACTTTACAAAGCTAAGACATTTATTTTAGGATGTATAAACTAGTATAATTAAACAATGACCTTACTTTCTTTGATCTAGGATTCAAGACTCTCTTTATAATTTATCTTTCAACCTGACAGAGACCAGTGTCAGAGAAGAGGAAACTATGTCCTCTGAATTACAAACACCGTCCACTCAAGCAGTGGCTATACTATAGAGATCCCAGGGAATCTGTTAGCTTAATAAATAAGCTAACTAAATGAGGCCCTTTTGAAAATGCCTTGCTTTAGGCCAAGAATTGTACCTCACACTAGCTAATGAATTCTTTTAGTTTAAGATTAAATATTTATTCAAAAATTATAAGGAATATATTTAGTTGCCCTTGACATGGTCTTCAATTTGGAAGTCCCAAAAGAATAGAGTGATATACTTTGGCCGAGGTTACTCTAGAACCCATCAGTATTTTTGAAACAAACCCAAAAGGAAGAAACAAGGTGCTAATTATCTTACCCAAGTCTTGACCATGGGCTCTTTTATTTCCTTGTACATACAAGAGAGAAAAACCTTCAGAGATCTGGACTGTTCTCTGTGGGCATTGTGGTGCATCCACTGTCTGGCTGTGGCGTGTGATGAGAAATCCATGGGCAACTGAAGTGGTTCCAGGGGGACCTGGTGGACCTTGCAACCCATCTAGTCCTGGAGGACCATCCAAACCACGGGCACCTGTTTCCATGAAATCATCAGTATACAAGATTAAATAAGCTCTGATCCACTATTAGGGCTATTGACAAAATATAATGACTTCATTTGATTAGTGAATTTATTCAATATTTATAGAGTGTCTATAAAGGCACTGTCAGATATTATGGGCACAGAGACAAATAAGATATGGTTCCTGTCCTCAAAGAAATTTAAATGCATTTTTTTCTTCTGATGTTGGTTAGAAACATTAGACACTAAAATACTAGGTGAACTTTAAATGGGGAGAACTGTTACATATGGGGAGCCTGTATGTTATCTAGTCTCTTGATATTGAACCCCATGACCAAATTTCAATCTGCTGTTTTGTTCATTAATAGGAAAGGAAAGGTGTGATTTCCATTAGTCTGTCTGTTTCAGTGGTGCTTTTTATTTTCCTTTGAATCTGTCTGTGGAATTATTCTCAGGCATATCTTGTTTAGAAAATAGCCTAGAGCATTCTGAAGAAGCCATTTCAAAATGCTTATTTCAGTCTTCCACTGGGTCCCCTTCCCAATTTAGCCTCTTGATTTAAGCACAAGTTGTATTTATACAACTTTTTTAACCACTGTGTATATAGATTTTCATCTTTAAAAAACTTCAAAACAATACAGGTAATGAAGATGACAGTAACTTGTTTCTTCTCTGGAAATACAAAACTAATCAATTGGCAGGGCACTGGCTCTAGAAAGGCTGTAGGCTAGCACCACTCTGCCTTGCTGCCACTGATTTTTGTTTTTGCAATACAAATCCTTCATGTTTATATTATTTAGAGTTGCTAAAATATTTTTTTTTAATATTTTTTTTTTTGGTACTGGGGATCCAACTCAGGTCCTTGTCCTTTCCAGGCAGGTGGTGGAACCACTGAGCTAAATCCCTGGCCCTCATAGAGTTGCTAAAATATGTAACAATGTATTGAGTTTATGGTCTTCTATTTGTATTTTAGAAATCTTACATTCGTGTATTTTTTTGATACAAGTTGACTCAAATTCTTTTTGGAAGTAGATAAACTACAGATGGAAATTTAGTAGATATCAGACTTAATATCATTAGGAGTATCTATTAATGAGTGCCCTCAAAAATCTGCATATCAATCTCAGCAAGACATGTCATCATAACTCTCAAAGGTCTACAAGGATCACTTAAACTTTTCATTTATGTTACTCTATTTTGTGGGGGGAAATTACACCTTAGTGTGATAATTTCAAATAAGATGGCTTCACAACAGTTCAAAGTGGTTGAGGAAGTTAAGTCAATACACTGAAAATTAGCAGAACAGATAATTACAGTGAGTACTGGGAGGAAGAGCTGGGGTTTCAAGTCCTCTAAACATAAATAAAAGCAACTTTTTATGCTTCTCTTATAGTGGCCAATCTCTTCAGATATGCCTTCCTATTTTTGCCCAGCTCCAGATTCACCAGCTGGGAGCTTCCTCCCTTAAGAAAAAGATCTCAGCTCCATGTGGAAGCCTACATTCCAAGTCTTCCCGGATATAAAGACTGCCATCAGCAGCACTGTTTTAATTGTCTTACCTGGCTGGCCTGGCAGACCTGTGTCTCCTTTGCGCCCTCCTGCACCATCAAAGCCAGGAAGTCCATTACGTCCAGGATCCCCTGGAGGACCAACTGGACCTATAGCAAAAAAAATGGGGTTTTCAGATATGGGTAGAAAATGTTCACATCCAGCTAGATCTCGGAGACTTAAGTTTTTTGTTTTGGTGGTACTGGGGATTGAACCAGGGCCTTCACACTGAGCTACAACCCCAGCCCTTTTATTTTTTATTTTGAAAAAGGTCTCACTAAGTGGATAAATTGCTACAGCTAGCCTTGAACTTGAGATCTTCCTGTTTCAAACTCCCAGAGTTCTGAGATTGAAGGTGTGTGCCACCATGTCCAGCTAAGAGTTAGACTTCTTAGGACACTGAACTTAGAATCTGATTTTATTTTAAATCTGGGTAAATGAAGGAATAACTCAGACTCGGCAAATATAGGCAAGGACTTAGCTTTAAACATTATATTTGCTTCTGGGAAGATTCCCTTAATATGGCAGTTTTGTTCTTTGACTTCAGTCAGCAGTGCAGGTCCAAACTTTTGCTATCTATCCCACAATAGGTAGGACTGTTGTTACTGCCAGGTACATTTATGGAAAGACTGTCACTCAGTTACTCAGGAGGAAAAGACTGAACTTAGTGCTAGCTTTTTTTTTAACAATCAAAGTTGGCTATAAGCATAGAGTCAAATGGTCAAGTACACAATAATTTAGAAATCAGCGGGGGCCTGGAGGGTACAGCTCAGGGGTGGAGCACCTGCCTAGGATGCATGCAAAAGGTCCTGGGGGTGAGTTCTATCCCCAGAGGAGCAGTCTTTCTACTAGCTGAAGTAGATAAAGTACTGGATCTTAAAAGCATGTCCATTTCATTACAGAGTTTTTAACACTAGCCTACTTGTTCAAATAAGAACGCTCAGAGGGGGAAATATGACTGCACCTAGAAGAAACCCAAGTATGAGAAATTAACATTTTCAAGGAAATAGGTCCTGCTGTGGTCCAGTATTCTAGTTGCTGAGAATCCTATTGTCAAAGACAAACTCTGAAATGTAAGTGGAGAACCAGAGAAATGTCCTCCAATAGGCAGGACTTCAAAGATGATCTAAAAGGTACCTGGTAAGCCTTGAGGGCCTGATAGTCCTGGTGGACCTTTTAAACCAGGCTGGCCAGGGATCCCTGGAGGACCAGCATCTCCTTTGATTATAATACTGTGTCCTGAAGGACCAGGTAATCCAGGAGGACCTAAGAAGCCAAACACACAAAGGTGAAAGTGGGGAAGAAAAAGTTCAGAAGAAACAGATGCCAAAATGACCTAAGTTCAAAATAAATAATTAGTGTGAGAGAAAAAAGCTACATGTATTTGAGTGCTGCCATATCTAACAGAAATCTGTTTGGGAAAACTACCATTATTTCACCCAGAAAACTGAAAAGTAACTAACTTTCTTAGGGCTAGTGAAAAAATTAGGCATATCATCCTACTTTCAAGACTTGAGCACTATTAGTTACTGATGTGTCTAATTGATTACCAAACTGTGAACACTGGTGCCAGGAAAGACAATCTCATTCCCTGACAAGTCCATTGTGTTTCTGATATCATTTGCAGTTCTTGTTTGTAATGCTTGTCCAGGAACCCCCTGAACCAATAGAGGAATTTTTCAGATGCCCTCTTTTACAGTTTACAAGAAACATCTATAAGCCTCTCAGCAAAAGGACTATTTTAATATAAAAATATACAAACATACATATGTAACTTCTTCTTGTGATCTGTTTAAGTGAATACGTGAGAGCTGTATCAAAGCCAGTAAAAATCTCAATTAAAGCATTCTTATTGATTGTACATCTTATTAAATTTGAAAAGTCTGCTATCTACATTAATAAAATAGAAAGTTTAAGAGATTAGCAAATTATGGACTTCCACAGTTTGGTTGAAAGGACACTTAAGTAGCTTCAGGAATATTTCTTACCTGGGGATCCAGTAAGTCCTGGTTCCCCCTCAGGGCCAGTTGAACCAGGTACTCCAATGGGTCCTTTCATGCCTGCAAAGACAGTACAAACAATTGCACAGCAAAGCAACAGGGCCACAGGCTTTACACAGACAAATCAAAACACGTGTGTCTTGGCCCAAAAGTGTTTAATAGAAAGGGAAACCTTCAAATACCCCTTCAAATACCTGGGAATCCTGGAACACCAGGAAGACCAGGATCTCCTTTCATTCCATTGAGACCTGGCCGGCCAGGATTACCCTGAATAAATAAAATCATTAATGTTAGAAATAAAATTGGGGGAGAAAGGAAGGGAAGTGAGGGCAGAGGTATTGTGTAGTAATTTACGGCAGTGTCTGTAGAGCTAAATTTCTAGGATTCAAGTCCCAGTTTCACCTATTACCTTGCATGACCCCAGCTGATGATTTGATCTCTTTAATCCATTGTTTCCTCACCTCTAACATGGAGAAAACAATAGTATATAACTTGTGCTTCATGGAGTGGTGGTGAGGATTTAATAAGACAGTTCATATTAAATGTTTCGAAAACTGCATAGGCTGTGTATTTAATAAGAGTAGCTAATGTTTTATTATTAACAAAACAGTTGTTTTTTAGCTTAGAGCTGAGGCAATAAATGCTTGGATTAGAATCTGCAAATGTAGAAATGCTAAAATTTGAAATACTTAGTATCATAGGGCCTGCTGATCGATTTTGAGTGCCATAAAAAGTATGGAAAGAGTAGAAAATAGCTCTAAAACAAATCTAAAGTACAAAATAGCAAGATCATTTAAAAGGCTATTGCACTAGTCCAAGTGTAGGAAAATTAATTTTGTAATAGGAGCAACGGAAAAAGGGGTAGAGTGACAATATATTTTTATGGTAAAATAGGTGAAAGTGCTGAAAAAAAAGCAGGTGGAAGCATGTCAGAAAGGATCCAGCTTGAAGGAGCTTTCAAATCTGAGACAATATGACCACCAACATAAATAATAATAGTTAGAAAATTTGTAAGTCACTGAAAAAAATGAGAAATTTTGAGCCCATACTGATAATAAATATGTAAACAAACAGGGAGAAGGGACTCTTGCTTACAGCAGAGCTGACTGGGACTGTATATGCAGAGTTAGTACTAGAGTTGGAAAATCATCAATTTACCACTATTCCAGCAGAAAGTGTGTGAAGTAAAAATCATTAATAGATTTTAAAACTAAGGGGACATTTATATTTGCAAGAATTTAATGTACCTTCACACAATTTTGCTTGTTAGGAGGAAAATAACAACAATACAGAGGAGAAAATAGAGAACAACTTGATTGGGTGATCAAAATTAAAATCACAAATGAGGGGCAGGTGGGCACCAGGGACCTTCTTATCTGTTATGCTGGGAAGGATACAATATCACTCATGCAATATTTCAGCTGAGGATACACAACCCAAATTTAAATATGAAGAACATCTGACAAAAAATATCCTATTTTTAAAATAAGCAAGGTGACAATTTTTTAAAATGTCAAGGTCATATAAGAAAAAAGTATGATTAGGAATGTTTTCAGATTACACAAGACTAAAGAGATATGACAATTAAATGTAATTCATGATTTGTCCTAGATACCATTTTAGAGGGAGAAATGCTAAAAAGAACATTACTAGCTTACTTAACATAATTGGAACACTAAAGGCAGAATTTAAAGTATTATATCTATGTTCAGTGTTCTAAATTTGATAATACACTATGGTTATGTAAGAGAGTTTTTTTTTTTTACTCTTACATAGGGAAGTATTTAATGGTAAAGGGCCATGATTGATAAAACTTATTCTCAATTTTTTCAAGAAACAAATATGTTTGCACAAATATATATATATATATATATGTGTTTATATACACATATTTACATGCACACCGAGAAATACAGAGAGAGAGAGAGAGAATAAAGGAGGCTAAATGAGGCCAAGCGTAACAATCAGGAGTCTTGAATGCAGAGGTATAAGAAAAAAGAATGAAGTAGGGAGTGACTAGTGAATGAATAAAGGGAAGACTTAATTTTTAAGACTAGGTAACTAGAAGTAGAGCGATGCCATGGAAAAAAGGTTAGATATAGAAAAATTTTAAGGGCCACAGCTTTATAGAAAGTTTTTTCTGCTATCAAGCAACCTTCACAAAAGGCAGCCCAGACTGTACTGGCTATCAAAATTTATTAACAACCTGCTGGAATGAATGGCAGCAACTTTGAGAACATATAAAAAAGTAAGTTCCACTGGGTCATTCAAACCAAGATAGAAAGCAAATGATTGGATATGCTGTTATTTTCTTTTCATAGGTGAAGACAGAAATCCAGAGTGTGTTTTCCTCATAGACACAAGGCAGAAATGAGTAGCAGAGCTGAAATTTGACCCTAACTCTATTTAATCTCAAAGTCTAAACTATTACCACTCACCATAATTACTTTTCTACCGCTAGGCTCATCCACATGCAATGTTTTGATATTCACATCTCTTTTGCACAAATTTGCTTTCACTGAAAATAAAGTATCTTTTGAGGAACCCTCCTGGTATCATAGAACAAAACACCACTTAGTTGTAAATCTTCTACTTTCATTTTAATTCACCAGTGAGCCACGTAGAGTCTTGTCTGTGAGTGCTAATTAAATGCAACAGTTTAGAATTCTCATTTGAATGCAAACACCCACACTCATCTCTCATCAAATATCTACTCCCATTTCCTACCGAGAGTCCCGGTGGTCCTTGATCTCCTTTCAGACCCGGCAAGCCAGGTGGCCCAGGTGGGCCTGGGTTTCCCCTTTCTCCTTTAACATCTCCATTTCCAGGGAGACCACGGGGACCTTCTGGACCTGGTAGACCTTGATGATGCACAACAAATGACAAAATTTCACTATAGCATAAGAGTAGTTTAAACATCAGTGTTTTAAAATATCAATAATCTTCATATTAGTTTGCAGGTAAAACTGACACTACATTAAAATATATTGATCTATCCTGATTCTCTTCCTAATGGAAATTAGATTGGGTTCCTTTTGTTATTAATGTTGGTTTGTATACCCTTGTACCCTTCTGGTTTAAATTTTATTATTCATTCAATCCAATAAGCATATATCTAAAGGACTCGGGACATAATTTGTTTCAGAATTCCTAACAAAGTATTTGACTTAAACTGAAATGAAACAGACACAGTAGGGCACTGTTCTCAAATTAGAATAACCTTGAGATCTTGTGATTCAGATTCCTGGGCCCACCTCCAGAGTTGCAGCTTTAGTAAGGCTGGGGAAGGCCTAAGATTTTGCATTCTAACAAATTCAAGGAATCCAAGCCACTGTGGTTAAAATTAAATCCCTTGGGGCTGGGGGTGTAGATCAGTGGTAAAGAAGCTCAAGTGAGAGGTCTTCGGTTAATCCCCAGTAGGATAAAAATAAGTAAGACATTAAATAAAAAATAAAATTGCTTTATTTGTAAGAAGTTACATTTATTCATCTTTTATTACTACGCAATGAAGACATTTACACAGATTAACTTTAATTTTGTTCTAGTGACATGCTTGATATATAGGAATATTTTTAAAGGTCAGAATTTAATCAATATAGCACTTTAAACATTTATTTATTAATTTGGTACTGGGGATCAAACTCAGGACCTTGTGCTTGAGAGGCAGGCACAGGAACCACTGAGTGAAATCCCGAGCCATTAAACATTTATTTTAAAGATGTTTTCCTGGGCTGGGTATATCGCTCAGTGGTAGAGCTCTTGTGTAGTAGATGTGAAGCACTGGGTTTTATGCCCAGCACTGCAAAAGAAAATTTTCATAATTTTTACATTTTAAATATTTTAAAGAAAAAATTCTGGATATATCATGTGAACAAATAAAAATAATTTAAAGTGAGATTTCACTAAGGTTTTTCTTTATGCTATAATTTTAACTTTTCTTTCTAAATAAAAATCTCAGGTCCATTAAGAGACCAGGAACATCTTATCATTGACCAAGTCTTTTTAAATAAAAGCTCCCCAAAATGAGCCCATATATAGCACATACACCTACCTTATCTTCTCTGGTAGCCTCAATTTTTTATTGCTCTCAACCAAAATTAAAAAAAAATACCTAGGAATTATTTTTTGTTGCTGTTTTGGTTTTTAGAAACAGGATTTCAATATGTAGTTAGTTCAGGCTGGCCTTGAACTCACTATGTAATCCAGATTGGCCTCAAATTTGCAGTGCTCCCCCTGCCTCAGCCTCCCAAGTGTTAGGATTACAGGTTATCTGCTACTGTACCCGGTCTGTAGCTATTACTTTTAAAGGAATTATCATGGGCATATGAATTTAGAATACTGAGCTCAAGTTTACTTATGGACAGAGGGCCATTTTTTTGATCTGAGATCAAATTTCAAATTTAGTTTCTCTTTCTCAGAATCAATGGTTACTGACTAAGAACACTGGAACCTGGAGTTAGAATGCTGGGGTTCCAATCCCAAGTAGATTAATCATCAGCTCTTTGATTTACCAAAATGATTAATTTCTTTGTCTTCAATTTCTTCTTCTATAAAGTGGAAATAAGAATAGTGTCTGCAGCCATGCATGGTGGCACATTCCTGTAATTCCAGAACTATGGGAGACAGGTATGAGGGTTGTAAATTCAAGTCCTGCCTGCAGAATTTAGAACATGTATCAAAATTTTTAAAAAGGGGCTGAGAGTATAGCTCATTGTGAAAGCTCAATCCTCAGCATTGCCAAAAAGAAAAAAAGAAAAAGAAAGAGTAGCATCTGCTTTAACAGGATGTTGTAAAGATTAATGAAATTGTATTTATAAATTATTTAACACAGTGCCTGGCACATAGAAATAATAAAAGGGGTGGTATATTTTTATAATTATTAGCACTATTACCTTTATTAGTAAAACTAAAGATAAGAACATATGGTAAAATATGAACATGTTTATCATCTTTCAGATGTTTTTATAAAATAACATGACTGTATCTGGCACATGAGAAAAAGAAAGCAGGTTCATAACACAACAGCAATTGTTTGTATTGTTAAACAATTTAATTCATATAGTCACTTTAACCTGATAATCAGACAACACAGAAATTCCCTTAGGGATCATAAAGAAAGATTTGAGGGTACTTTGTACTTAAGAAACAAAACAAGCAAAAACACAACTGCTTAGTTCAAATGCATTAATAGAGTTTTCTAAGCAAACATGTTAGTTTGTAGGATTTAGATTAGAAATCGGGTAGCAAATCAGCTTATTAAGAGAAAAATAAACTGTGAAACAACCTGACGAAAATGACAAGGGAAGGTTTAAGATAGGGAAAAAGGAAACTGATAATCTTTCCCAGTTTGGGAAGTTACCAGAGCACTTGAAAATTAAAACAAGGGTAATATGCTTTTTACAATTAAAGGGGAATGTTAAGGATTTTACATGCAGATACATGCCTGCTGTTTAATCCTTCAAATTTAAATGAGTGAATTAATTACTAATGACATATAGGACACATAAGTTAATTTTTAACAGCATGTAATAGTTTCCCTCTTCCATTACTGAAAATAGCCACAAATAAACAGAACACTGAAGCAAACAAATTTCTTTCAAGAAAATAAAATCAATATGCAGAGATTATAAATTGGCCATATATCTGCCTAAATAAATGTCTTAATGCAGTCTAGAAGGCAAAAGTGTATTTTCATTTAAAATTCAACAGATTTTTATGTAGGATTATATATTATAAACAATCAGAACCACAAAGACTTGATATCATTTCAAACTCAATTATAAATAAGCCACACTACCTTCACCAAAATGTTAAAATTCAAGCAGGTAGTATTTGAGGATTATCGCTTTTATTTTGAAACAGGATCTCACTATGTAGTTCAGGCTGGCCTTGAACTCACTGTGTAGCCCAGGCTGTCCTCGAACTCATGGCAATCCTCCTGTCTCAAGCTCCTAAATACTGTGATTATAGGCATGGATGTGCCACCATCCCTGGCAGCATTCTGCAATAGCTTCTAAACTTTGCTTTTATTTATAGCAAAATAAAGAATATATCTCTTATCACACATATCAAGCATTAAAATATAATTGACTAGTGAAGAGTCTAACCTTGAAAACCTGGCAAGAGCAGAGTTCACCAAAGCCCAAAGATCAATGTTAGCAGTATCAGACATCGCGTAGTACAAAATAAGATTATGAGTTAGAAGTGGTTCACATTATAGCACACGTTAAACAGTAATTATCTTTGCCAGCATTTCTTAGACTTATGGCATAATCAGTATGTACATACTGGAGATGGAGAGCCAAACTTTTCAAACTGAGCTTGTTACAGAGAATAAGCTACTGGCCTTCATCAATCCAAAAAACGGAAAAGTCTACTGAGGACACTGTGTTAACACCCCTACTGTGGCTTTCCAAAAGTTAGCTTCTCAAAACATTGAAGTTGGCAAGATAATACAATGTCACTGACAGCCTTCAGTTCTTTTCACAAAGGAGTAATTTTGGATGGATGTTTATCTTGGCCTCTGCCATCTTTCAATAAAAACACAAGGCAAAAATCTCTCTTTATATGTTCAGACTGAACCAAACAGATACTAGTTAGAGACTTCACTGGCAAAAAATACAAAAATTATTGGTGACTGAAGAGAAAAATAAAAACATGAGTTAACCATTACCAATTAATTATACTTTTGTTTGTCTTATTTGAAAACCAATCAGTGAAACTATATTCTGATTTTTTTCATAATTCATCATGAGGTTTTCCTCTGTACATTATTATTTGCAGTAAGCTACTTAAAGAAAAAGCCAATGTATATTTGTACACAATCAAACTGGAAAATAAAGATTCAAATTTTCCAAAGATGTGAAGACTATCAATGAAGGGGTGCTTTAAATATTTTGGCATGTGATAGCCTGCCCCAAACCACAGAAAATATTACAATTACTTTATTATAGTTTAATGTATATATTTACCCAGGTAATTCATTTTTTTCCTTAAATTCTCTTATTGGTACATTTTAGGTATACAATGCATTTATATTTATCATTGGGTACTTGTACCTGTACATGATGTATCTTAGTTCTTATTTTTACCATTCCCTGTCCTCCCTTTACCCCTTCCACCCTTCCCTATTTACAAAGACTTTGTTTCCATTTTTTCCTTTTCTCATAAATTTTCCTTTCCCTTCTTTCCTTTCACCTTCCCCTCCCACTCAGGTAATTCATTATTAAAAGAAGGATCATTAAATAAAATGTTAAAAGCTACAAATAGAACATCTCTTGGTTACTGTTAATTGACTATAAACACAATTTCCTTTCCTTACAAGTCTTGATATGATTTATAAACAATGAATGTTAGCAGAGAGAAAAATGGTGCTAGAGCACAGAATCCCAAAAGTTTGAAGACCTAGGATTGTATTCTTGACTCTGCTACTTAATAATTGTATGACTTTGGGGAACTCAATTGCCCTGAGCATAATGGGAATAGTGTTATCTGCCCTAACTTCTCTCATAGGATTAACAATGAAAGTCACGTTATAAAACAGAGATTTAACATCTGCCATGTACAAGGTGCTATTGGAATATAAAAATGAGTAAGACCCCTAACTCTTCCCTCAAGGAGCTTACAACAAAAGTACATTATATGTCGAAAATGATAGCATGCCACATAAATAGAAAATATTATCGTTATTGCCCAATAATAAAACTTTTTAAATGATTGATAAATTGAAATCTATCTATCTATTTATTTATTTATTTTTTGGGTACCGGGGATTGAACTCCGGTCCTGGAGCTTGCGTAGCAGGCATTGAAACCACTGAGCTAAATCCCCAGCTCTAATTTGAAATTTAGAAAGCTAAAATTTGGCTTGCACAGCAAACTAACTCAAGACAACACTTAGAGCATTGTCTAACAACACAATTAGTTTAATAAATTAGAATTACTACCAAACATAATTTAGATTTTGAGTAAAGACATTTTACATGTGTGTTTGATATAGCAAGACCAATAATAAGAACTCTTAGAAAAAATATCTCATCAAAACATGACATTTTTTATTCAAGTCAGTGGCAATGAGAACTTTGATCATATCATAGCAAAACTTCTAAGATTTTAATTCTGAAAAGGTTACATTTTAATGAGTTATATGCCAATTCAATTTTATGTATGAGGCTTTCAATTTACTGTTTTTCAAATCATCCAAGAAAAGTTAACTAGAAATAAACCCCAAAACATAAAGTCTCATACATAAGTGGTAATTAATAAAGATAAGTTGATGGATCCACTGGTAAAAATCTAGTTTCCACTTCAGGTTGTCCTTTGCAACTGTTGCAAGGAAGAGACCACCACAGAGACCAGGTTCCAGTAATTGCAATATAGAGCACATTTGGTAAATGGGAGTTGTTAAATTGGTTTTAAAGTAAATGTGGCTACTTTGTTTTTCTTCCTCAAATATATTCTAGTGCCTCAGGAATAAAGAAAAAAAAATCTCCTAGCTGACAGTCTACTTTAGCGGTAAGGAAGGTAGCAGAATTCTATACAAGTCAGATAAGGTAGGACTCAAAATTGCTCCAAAATACCCCCTAGCGGTCTTTCTATCTTGGTGATTGTTAAATCACATGCACTATCTTAATCTTCTTAATAACATCCATTTAAGAAGAACACAAGAAGCAGTTGTTAGGGGTTGATGGGGCTTTTAAAGTAACAGAAATAAAAAAAAGTAGATGCAAGGCCTAGTTTGCTATAGTCAAGTTTCCTAAAATGTTAAAAGTAGTTTTGCTCCATTAACTTATCATATTTATAGCTAGGATAAGAGAAAATAAGCCAGAAAATAAGCATCAAGCCATATAATAAATAGCCTTTGTGGAAAGATATGATGCTACTAGTAGTATAGACACAAGTCTGTATCAACTATGCCAGTAACTAACAGTATTACCTTGAAAGAACTTATTGACCTCTTTGGGCCTCAGTTTTTCATATGTAACAAAGACTGTCCTTGGTCAAACCTTAGAGGTGCATCTGAGTCCTCTCTCATCCTAGGGCCCTGTTTCTGGACTGCCAAGTCCAGTTTCAATAATACTGCTAAATCAGTTTAAGGAGAGTCCCTTTCCAATGTTTAAAATCTGATCAAGTTCCTCATCCACCACCCTTGATGTCTAAGTCCTTGGCCTGCCTTTAGCAAGAATCTTGTGAAGTGAGCTTAGCTAAAATCCCTCTACCCTTCATGCCCTTTTAGTAAGTTTCCATCACTGACCTCCTCATTCTTCTGCTTCTTCAGAATGCTCCTGTTATATTTAAGGTGAGCTCAGTCACTCTCCTCTCTTGTAATAACCTCTCCTCTACTGTAATAATCTTGAATAAAATCTGTCTTTCCATCTTTAACAAGTATCCAGCCAGCAATTTCTTTTTGATATATATAAAGTATAGGTCCTTTCTTGGTCTGGCATTCTGTAGTTCAAGGAAATAATGGGACTGTGGGAAAGTAAGAAATTAGGGAACCAGAATGCAGGTGTGGTAGGACACCATTATAATCCCAGCAATCTGGGAGGCAGGAGAATCACAAGTTCAAGCCTAGCTTGAGTAACCTAGTGAAAGCCTGTCCCCCAAAATGGATAGGGACATATGGTTCACTGTAAAGGTCCTGGGTTCTACACATAAAGAAGGAAAGAAAAAGAAAGTAAGTAGGGAGTCAGCTCAGATAGAGATACATGGCTTCCTAAAAGCCATCTTGAAAATTTATGAATTTTTAATTATACAAGAAAAAAATGTCCTCAATAGTCAGACCTAAAGTGTAGAATTTTTCCTCCTTTTAATTTCCCTCTAGAAATCTGAAAAGGACTATTTATCTAAAATAATAATAAGTACATTCAAATATTTGTGGCTCTTTTTACTCCTGACTAGGTGAACATTTTTTTTTTTACTAGAAATCAACAATTTTCCACTGAGTCTCTCTTGGTAATTGTTGTTTGGTACACACTGTTCATGTGAGTGTGATGAAAATAAGATTAAGAGCCTCTAATCTGTATCGGTTGTATTGATTTTTAAAGAATATTGTACCTATTAGTCTTTCTTCACAGGAGTATAATTTAGAACTATGTGACAAGTCAAGTTTACACATTTGCAGAATCTGTTAATACACGTTATTGTTTTTAAAATGCCTTTTTGAAGGATAGTTCAATTTCTTTTTTCCTTTTCTTTCTTTTTTTAAGATAGAGTCTGTTTCACCATGTTGCCTGGCTGGCCTGGAACTACTGTATTGGGCTCAAGTGACATTCCTGTTTCAGCCTTCAAAGGAGCTACGATACAGGTAGGGACCACTGTGCCTTGATGATAGTTCAATTTGGGGAAAGGGACAAACACGGGGAAAAGTAAGATATACACTCTAATCTAAAAGAAAAATAAAATATTATACAAAGCTGTTTTAAATACCATAAATTCTCAACTAAAAATGACACAAATATATGAATTTTTTTTGAGACAAGGTCTCACTGTGTAGTGCAGAATGGCCTTGGACTCACTATGTAGTCCAGGCTGGCCTTGAATTTGTGGCAATCCTCCTGCCTCAGCCTTCGGAGTGATGAGATTACAGGTGTGCACCACCACACCAGGCTAAATTTTGAAGCGTTAATTAGTTTTCCTAATTAGATAATATGGGGTCATTCCATTAGAAATACTGGGCTTTACAAGTTTTTGACAGCTCACAGAAATAAGCCTCCATGTAAGAATTGAATTGGCACATAGACTCTTAAAATACATTTAAACACTTGAAAACATTAATTTCGAATGTATGTGTACACACATACATATATGTATACATACATATCTATATATAAGAAAAGTTTCAAACTTCATGCAGTTATTACTTTGGAGTGAAGGAGCTAACCTGGAGGACCTGGATGGGGTCAACGTTCACCAAGGCCCAATGTCATTATCAACAAAAAGGAAAAATATCAAAACAGTTAGAAACATCAAAAACTAAAGCATTATACTAAATACTTTCAAGTTAAAATTTAATTCAATTGCAAAGTATACAGTACATTTATATTCATGCATCTGTATATAAACCAAATTATCACCACTTAAAGTTAATTACTAAAATGAAAATAGTACATGTGCCATATTTTGAAAAGCCAAAACTTATTTTATAGAATTCAATACTATGAACCCAAACTAAACAATCAATTCTAAGAACAACGGAATCTAAAACTCCATTTTAATATGTAGTTTATAAAAAAATTGGGAAGTCAAATACACATCAGATATGTGCTTTCTTGGGGTACTTTTGTTGTTATTTATTATTATAGCTTTTTTGAGACAGGGTCTCGCTATGTCGTTCAGGATGGCCTTGAACTTCTGCTGATCCTCCTGCCTCAGCTTCCCAAGCACTGGGATTGCAAGCGTGCACCACCACATCTGGCTTAATGATTTTATACTGCTGTATTTTAAACTAATTTTCAACAATGAGTTCCATTACTCCATTGCTAATTAGAATATGAAAAGGATAATAGTTTGGTTTATTTGAAGGATCCCATGAAAAACAAAGCAAGACATTTGTTTCAATTCTTTGTAATACATGCAAAGAGTTAACATGGCTGAGATTTTCACTGGTTTTCTTCAATAATAAACTAAGTTAAAATCTTAATAACCTCTAAGGACAATGTAATAAGGTCAGATTAAAATCTGGTTTTCAAAATGGATCCTCTGAACATAGAATGTGGTCCTATTTAATTCACATTTTTATAGCATATCTATTAAATTAACTCCAATGACAAGATTTTATTGAAATTTAAATGCAAATTTTCACTTTAAAATGCATTAAAAAAACAAGTCAGTGATTTTCTAAAGATAAAAGGACAATTTCTTTGTTTCTTCAGGCTTAAATTTCTCTTCTTTCTTAAACTCAATAAAGGCCAAATTTTCCATTACCAGAAATAGAAAAAATAATGCCAAGTCTCAGAAATCTGTTAATAACATACAACCAGTGATTGGTCTCAGAAACATTAATGAGAACAAGCATTTTCAAATTAGTAAAATGAAATGACAGCACAGAAACAAAAAGGTGAAATGGATGCAAAATTAAGCTGTTAGAGAAGTGAATATAAGTCAAATAAGGTAAAAATATGAGGTTGGTATGGAAAGCTTGCCAGTCAATTTTATCATGCTGTGATGCTGGAGATAAATTTGATTGCCTAGTTCCTAGAGAAGATGAAATGTTTATTGTGCTTGGTGACATTTGCTGATCATGTGACAGAACCATAGCAACACCTGTGGTATGGATCACAAGCATCAATCTATTGGGTGATCTCTTAAAATGATTTTGGTGATGACATGCTAAGAAGCTCACATTTAAAACTGGAGATGGTGTTTTGCTGCCAGGTTATCAGTATAGCTTTATCTATAATAACAAGACTAAGAAAGCCACTATTTCCTTTTTTATCTAAATTGTTTTGTTTTATTTCAACTGTAAGTAAATGTTAAATTCGTTATAGAAAAGAATATATTAGATGCCATGGAAATGGATAGAGATAGATGTATAAACTGATATCTATTTGTAAGAAGTTCTTATATTACAAATTCTAAAGCCCTGACAACTAAATAAACTGCCAGCAAAATGAAATAAATTGAATAGTAAACAGACTATTCGCCTACCACTCATGAACATACCTGGTCTTCCAGGAGGACCTTGCGGCCCAGAGTTGCCTTTAGGGCCTTCGAGAGCTGGACCTGGAGAACCAGGAGGGCCTGGGGGACCCTGTACACCAGGGAAACCCTGAAAGCCTGGTTCACCCTTTAGACCTGGAAGGCCAGGGTTTCCGGGAATGCCAGGTAACCCTCCATCACCCTTTTGACCTGTAAAAGTAAGGTGACAGAGAGCACATTAAATGACACTGAGTTACAGACTTGCCTATAAGGCTAAAGTTACCAGAGCAACTAATGGAACTTAGTAGGGTGATTTCTACCTCCAAATAAATTCCAAACCCACACAACCAACCATTTTTACTATTAAATATATTTATCTCTTCTCACAGTACATATAGAAATAGTTAATGAGATTAAGCACTAGAGAGAGATGGTAGGTTATGTGTGCACACATATCCATCTAAATATGAAGAACATATTAAAATTGACTTTTCAAGAAACACTGTTACTATTGGTACATATTTTTACAGAATTTCCTACATACTATCTTGATATTGCTTTAATAGGGAGAAAAGAGCATGTTTTTTCCTGGCTAAATGAGTTTTTAAAAATTTAGTAAAATCTCTTTCTACTAATTTTTCTTTCTATATCATTTCCTCAGCATTTATTTATGAAGTCAGTGAAGCAATATCTACAAGTGAATTTCCTTAAGGATGTATTTTTATATAACTCAACTCCTCAGATTATACTGCAACATAAATACTCAAAGACGCAACTCTACCTTTTTGGTTTTGGGTTTATTCTTAGCTTTTATAACAGAAAATGATGGAAATGGAAAAATAAATGTACTGGAGAATACATTATGGATCAATTTAGTATATTTTATTAAAGTTTACCAGAAAGTCCTGGGAGTCCAGGGGCTCCTGGAATTCCAAAACCTGGCTGACCTGTCAGAGTACAAAACAAAAATTTTAAAATGATAATAATAAGAGAAATACATATAAATTAATTTTAGATCATCATTGTTTTATTAAGTACTATAATGTATATTATATAAGGCATGAAGATGATTGATTTTTGTGCTGGACATTGAACCCAAGGCCTTGCACATGCTAATCAAGCACACTGTCACTAAGCTATACCCCAGCCTCAGAAGATTAATTTTTAACAGAACAATTTTAATATCAATAAATTATATAAGCATATATTTTATTTGTGATGAGTGTCAAATATATCTTTAAATATTTACATCATAGCTAGGAGTGGTGGTGCATACCTGAAATCCCAGTACTCTGGGAGGCTGAGGAAGGAAGATTCCAAGTTTGAACCCAACTTGGGCATTTCAGCTATTTAGTGAAAGCCTGTCTCAAAATAAACACAAAAAAAGACTGAGAGTGTAACTCAGTGTGAAGGCTTTGGGCTCAATCACTTGTACCCTCTCCTAAAAAATATACCTTATGAAAATATATAAATGGAATGCTAATTGCATACTGAAAAACAGAGAAATTTGAAAAAAAAACTGGGTAACTTCTTAGTGGAAAGAGTTGGACTAGTAACAGAATTAAGGACAAAAACAATATGATGATCTCAATAGATGCAGAAAAAGTATTCGACAAAATCCAGCACCTATTCATGATAAAAACCCAACAGAAAATGGGAATAGAAGATCTTTATCTTAACCTGATTAAGACTATCTATGAAAAATCAAAAGCCAACATCATACTAAATGGTCAAACACTGAAAACTTTCATGCTAAACTCAGGAACAAGACAAGGATGCCCACTATCACCACTTCTGTTCAATATAGTTCTGGAAACATTAGCCACAGCAATTAGAAAAGAGAAAGAAATAAAAGGAATAAAGATAGGAAAAGAAGAAGTTAAACTGTCATTATTTGCTGACAATATGATACTTTACATAGATGACCCAAACACCTCTGCCAAAAGACTTCTAGACTTAATTGGCAGATTCAGTAGAGTAGCTGCATACAAGGTCAACACTCAAAAAACAATACCTTCTTGTACACAAATAACAGACTCACTGAGACAGAAATTAGGGAAACAATTCCATTTACAATAGCATCCGAAAAAATGAAATATCTAGGAATCAACCTAACAAAGGAAGCAAAAGACCTCTACATTGAAAACTACAGCACTCTGAAAAAAGAGATCGAAGAGGATACAAGAAAATAGAAAGACATCCCTTGTTCCTGGGTAGGAAGAACCAATAGAGTGAAAATGGCCATACTTCCAAAACTACTAGATAGATTCAATGCAATGCCAATTGAAATTCCAACAATATACTTCACAAAACTAGAGAAAACGATCCAAAAATTCATTTGGAACCAAA